TATATATATATATATAAAACCTATCTTAACCAGGTCACCCAGAGATTAGAGTTTCTTCATCAAATTTTTGAAAACTGTGCAGCTCGACTTCATTCCACTTCTTTGCTGCTCTGGTTCAATTTGGCAGCTTCGGTTTTGTCTCTTGGGGTCCTTGTCAAGTAGAGGACAGTCAGTAAATGGGGTGAAGTCTCTGTGGTGCCTTTCCTCCCACCCAGCTCAGCCCTGTCGGCTGTTTTCTGGAGAGCTGAGTTGTCAGGAAGCATGGCTGGGGCTCAGGCATTTCCTCAGAGAAGCTGCTGTTTCCCTGGTGAAAAGGCTGGGTGGTGAGAGGGACATGGAGCCTTAGAAGTTAGCTTAGCAATGATCAGGTGACAGGAGAAGCTTGTTGGCAGGGAGTCTGAGGGCAGGGTGTGGGGCGTTCGCAGAAGAGGGTGCTTATCCAACCAGATGTCGAAGTCGGTGTTTCATATACTGAAGGTAAGTCTGCCTGGGTTGGTTGGTCCCCAAGGTGTGTGTGACCTTTGGGGACAGCTTGGAAGTCTAAGACTTAAACAGGCAAATAGAAGCTTCTGAGCTTTGGAGGGCTCAAAGGAAGCTTAAGGGATCCCTTTGCGGCGTCCAGGCACGGGCTCCTGGGAGATGAGGCAGTGTGTGTGGCTGGATGCTGTGACTGCTGGGCAGGGCTGTGCTTGTCCTTTTCTCTGTCCCCTCATTCCCTTTGCATTCTGACATGTGAGTCTGCCACTGTCCTGTGTTGGCTGCATGGCTCGGTGGCCACGCTGGTGACCTGTGTGCTTCCTTGTCCTCTTGGCGCAGACCAGTTAAAGACCCTGCAGAAGAACTACGGCAAGCTGCAGCAGGACGTCCTCCAGTTTCAGAAGAACCAGAGCAACCTGGAGAGGAAGTTCTCCTATGACCTGTAAGTGTGGCACAGTCAGGCACACACCCCCGGGAGGCTGAGAGGGCAGTGGGCAGAGCCCAGCACGTTCTGCAGCCTCTCCCTACTACAGAGCATGGACCTTCTGGTATATTCAGGAGTCGGAGGGAAAGGCCAGTTCCTTCTGGGACTCATCCATTTAGAAACCGTGCATTTCATTTTGTAAGTGTCAGGAGCGCTTCAGAAAACCATGGGCACACGTTAGCCAGCAGGCTCATAATGCAGGATAAACAAAACTCACACCCACACGCATCACTCACTCACTCACACACTTACGTACACATGCCAGTGCTCGGCAGGACGTGAACTGGTCAGCGTACCCTAAAACTTAATGTAACATAAAACTATAAAGCACAGACAGATAAACTGGTTAAGTCAGTTAATTATTTTTTATTTTTTGGAGAGGTTTTTGCTATAAGGCACATGCGCTCGCCAGACAGACAGAGAGAGACAGAAAGCGAGAAATCATCCCCCAGGGGGGATGGCCACTCCGCAATCCCTTCTCCTCCCTTCTCCTCTCGGGATCTTGGGCATGCACGCACATGTGCGCCCGGCGTGAGTTTTAAGCCACCAGGTCCGGGACGTGAACTGCGGTCGACTACATGGGAGTCCAGCGACATAGCCATTACGCTAACTGCTGGTCCCAAGTCAGTTATTTTAAAAGCCTTTAAAAGAGTGTTCCAGAAGTGCTCAAACATGAACTATATGAAACCAAGAGACATTTTGGCAAAATATTAATACATTTTACTGCTGGGTGATGGTATTGTGGGCAGTTTGTTTTCTTGAGTCTTTTCAGTGTGTTTCCAAATTTCTGCAGTGAGAATGGAGTACTTTTATAATAGAAACAACAATAAACTTTAAAAAGGGGTGCGGTAACCCCATTGGGAAGTTAGTAAAAACCAATTTGCAAAGTACAAAATAAAATTATGGTCTGTTTATTTTCCTCCTATTTTTTCCTAATAAAATCAATCAGGAAGCCCAGGAAGTTGAGATTCAGAGAGCTACCCTTCCAGAACACGGACTGTTCTTTTCCCTTTGACTGACTTCTCTCGGATCCATACCCAAGTAAATTTGAATTTTTACATAATGGCAGCCACCACAGAAATTTTAAAAATCATTTTTTCACTTATATGAATAATATGTAAAAATTCATTTAGTACCACATGTTTTATTGTTAAAATATTATTTTGGCTCGTGGTCCCCTGACTACCTGGGAGGCTGACTAAGGAGGATGAGTGTGAGGCCAGCCTGGGCAACAATAGTGAGACCCTGTCTTAAAAATAAAAATTGTTATTTTGGATTAGTTCCTTCTCCAAGAGACTCAACCACAGGTTGAGCCCGTCACTTCATATAAATTTGCCAAATTATTTTCTGAGAGGATTTAAGCTGTTTGGTCACCAGCAATGTGGGAGAGTAAGTTCTCTTCACACTCATTGTTCTCATGGGAACTTCTGTGTTCTTTCAAAACACTGTCCATACACTATAATGTCTTGCCAATCACCTTAAAACCAAATGCAGGGGCCTGTAGGTGGTGTAGAAGTTAAGGTGCTGGATTTCCACGTGGCTGACCACAGTTTGAGTCCTGGACCTGGCAGCTTGAAAATCATGCCAAGTACGTGTGTGTGCATGCCCAGAGTCCCAGGAGGACAGTGGAGGAGAAGGGTTTGCAGCATGGCCATCCCCCTGGGGAGTGATTTCACACTCTTGATTTCTCTGTTTCCCTCTGGTGAGTACACACGCCCAATGGCAAAGGCCTAAATAAAAACCAAATGCAACTAAAAACAGGAAGCTAAAGGTGGATAACTACAGAGAACAAGAGCAGTCAGTACACGGGAAGGCTAATGGGAAACTCCACATGGGGAACCTTGTTCAGCTGTGCTGGTGGTTCTCCTGGTCACAGCTTGCAGGAGGCAACTACCAGTCTCTAGTGGGTAGAGATGCGAATGCTGCTAAACATCCCATAGTGTGCCAGATGTTCCCCACAACTAAGTTCTGTCTGGCCCAAAACATCTTCCGTACTGAGGGCGAGAAGCCCTGAGTTAGGCTTACAAAAAACTGCATTGAGGTAAAAATGAAGTACCCCAGTCTTATTATTATTTATGCTTAAAAATACCTTCATGCAGATATTTCCCTTTACATTGAAAGAAAATTCTGAAATACAGAAAGCCACTGATGGCCTCATTTGATAAATGCTGATTTTGACCTACCCAGATACCAGCCAGCACCCAGTGACAGGGAAGGCCACTGTGCAGCCCATGTGGGAGAGCTCAGACCAGGCAGGGAGTGGACAGCTCTAGCCTGGGTGGGCATGCATGTAGGATGCATCCCTGTCCTAGCCTGGGAGGGTGTGCATACACAATGCACTCCTTTTGCTTGTAGGAGGTTGACTGTTCCATGGAAAGCTCTTTCTGGCTGTACTAGCGGAGCCTAAGGACCTGTCCCAGATACAGAATGATTGCCAGGGGTGATGTTCATAGAATGTCGGAAGCTAGAAACAGACAGTTGTTTTAAACTTTATTTGGACTATAAACCCTTTTGAGAACCTGATAAAAAGGTAGACACACCTTATTAGCAAATTTGTGAATGGATATAGGCATAAAGGTTTGCATTCAGTTTGCAGAAATTCATAGACTCTGAAGCACCTGCACATGACTCCATTACACGACCCTGCCGGCCTAGTCCTTCCATAGAAGGTAGTGCAGAGTGGTACCCAAGTCGAACCCAAGTTCGGCTGCTTGCTGCTCGAAAGCTAATACTCGAGAGACAAGAGTTGGTGGAAAGGAAAGGTGGTTTTATTCGGTAAGCCTGCAGCCTAGGAAGATGGCAGACGAGTGTCCCAAGTTGCCACAGGGTATTTCTGCTCCTTCGTTTTAGTTTTTGTTTGTTTTTTAATTGCCAGAGAGCAGCTGCACTCACCAAAGAAAGACAGAGGGAAAAAGCATTCCCCACTGGGTGTAATGGTCACACTGTAATCCCTTTTACCCTGTGTTTCCATCCTATTTGCAATGTTTTTATCTTTCCTTTTTTTAAATTCCATTTTATTATTACTATTTTTAAAATCTGACCACTATACATTATTTGGATTATAAAGAGAATTTATCCTACATGAAATACACCTCAGACAAGTCCAGTTGAGAATGCTAGACACATTATTATTATCAAATCCTGTTGCAATTTTAATCACACCTTCACATCCAGTGTGTTTTTCAAGCCACCAGGGGTGGGATTTAAATCATGATTGACCATGTGGGGTCTGGTTCCCTTAAAGACTAGATTTTGGGGCTGCCCCAGTCAGAGGGGATTTTAAAAGGAAAAAAATAAGCAGTAAGGGTCTTCATGGCCCTGTGCAGAGTTTAAGCTGATGAAATCTCAGCCGGCGAGCGGTTTCATCTTTCCCTCCCTTGCCTCTGAAGCCTAGTACCTGCAAAGATTCAGCAAGGCTTTTATTAACTTTCCTTAGTTGTGCATTTGGCTAGATCCATTGTGAGGCTGGTAAAAGGTTAGGCTTTGTAAGGTTCATTGTGAGGGAAATGAGAGATAGTAATTAAAGACTGATTTTCCTAAAGGTTAATCTAGTAAAATGGACTCCGTGATTAAAGTACAAGGAGTCACTTTTGTTCTCTTATGGTTCCATTATGAGAGCATACACGTTGTTTCCTGATACACAACTTAGTGTTCTTTCCTCAGAAACTGTCAGCACACGTCCCCACGCAGTGCTCCTACTCCTTTGGCAGACATGACTAAACGATTGCTGCATTTGAGCCAGACTTGGTCTTGCATTATTGCTCCACATCACACGTATGTAGCACATGAAATGAACTTCTCGTCACCTTAATCTCCATGCCACGTGGAGACAGAGCTGGCCAGTGCTGGTACTGAGATGTGATAGTAATACTCTGCAATCAGTGCCTTGACTGTGGGATCACCTATCTTGGTAGACTCCTGAATTGAGCACATTATGTTAATAGTACTCCAGCCAGCATTCGCACCACTTGGAATCACTACCAGTGGCCACATCCTGTGTATCGCCATAGTTTAGCTCCAGTAACGTCTATTACGTACATGTAAGACAGAGCCAGTTCAAGCCCCTCAGGAAGTAACAGTCCACACAACTTCTTTACGCATTTATTTATTTGTTCATCTGTTTATTTGTTCTGATATTCAAGCCTCTGAGTCTGGGACTCAAATCCACATGGTTTGCCATGTGGGACTCTAGCACCTTAGCCACTACCCCACCTGCATGATTTCTTTTTTTTTTTTTTAATTTCTTTTTTAA